GTGCTTGACAACCAGGATAGAAAATTTAAGTTAAGTGGCACTGATCTATGACCTATATCTGTTACAACTTAAAATTTCACAGCTCAATTGTCCAGAAAAGACCAAGCTAAATAATGGAATAGATAATAAATACAGAGATATATAAAGACCAAAATATTAGATATAATCCCAATGGATACCTTGTACTTCCGAAATCTTATTCATTTAAATACTGTGAATATGCTATAAAATATTAATGGAGGTATAATATATTAATATATTACAACATAATATATTAATATGTTATGCACCTAAAGAGTAGCAGCACAGTTATTCTTGTGCACCCATCTCTTTGTTTGAACTTTTTTTGATTAATTATTTATTTCTTCAAAATCTGTCTCATTCAATATATTAAAATAAGGGATTTATTGACTTTCAGTGGATCCTTGGTGGTAAATTCAGTTTTAGTTAACATTAAAATGTACAACTGTAACTTCAGTATTAATAAGTAATAGTTCTGCAGTGTTCCTGAGGTACCATTCAGTAGATCCAATTCTAAAGAAAAGGATCAAATTAGCAAGTACTCTCCTTCAAATTCTCTTTACGAGTGGATTTATCTATTTAAAAAATAGGGGGGAAATCTTGAACAGGCTTATGATTCAGAGGTTTCTCAGAATCTTTCTAAGACTTTTTTCTTATGATCTTTCTTAGACTTTCTAGTTATATTAAAATCTAGATCTTATTGTCAAGTTTAAAGAAATTATATATACGTTAATACGTTCCCATAACAAGAATTCCTTATAAGTATGTCATATGTTTTTTGCTTAACTTGGCTTAATTAGGATTAAGTAAAATGGATACAAATGCGTTCAGAAATACCCAACATTTTACTTTTGGAGTGGATACATACTGACTTCAGGAGTCCTAAATCTATTGTGCTTTTACAATATCCAGATCAATTTAATTAAATTCGATTAGAAGCACTAAACCTAAAACTAACTTATGAAGGCAACCAGCACGTCATCTAGTATTTATTTTTGCATTCAATTGATAATATTCCCTTTTGACTTCTAAAAATTGGTTTAAATCTTTACCAGTAATCACTTTTAAAACTGAAGTATATCTAATGAATTTATTATTAAATACTTACTTATGAAATGGAAATGGACTTAGAGTAAAGGAAGGGTAATGTTATATTTGAAGTAACTGCATTAGAAAAAACGTTGGAGACATAGTCCCCCCCAAATCAAATTTGTAATTTGAAATGTATATTGGCAACAGCATTTGTTTTGATCTGAAAAAGACATTATTTCATTTAAGTTGCATTTTCATATATTATTAAACTAAAGAGAAGTCTGCCCCTGCCAAAAGAAAACTAAACAACATTTTTATGTTTCTTGCTATCATTTTGCTTCATGAGCAACATGACAGTAGAAGGGCAAATCAAATTACATTTAAACCTCAATTTAATAAGGCAATCAGCAGAAAAATGAACGAAGGAATGTCAAAGCAAAACATAAATTCAACTTCCTATATTCCTATAATTTTAAGAACTAGCTGATGTTGACTGTGGCATTATCTAGCCCAGATTGAAAATCCATACATACCCAACAGAATTTGATTGTTGACTTTTGTGGTGAAACAGTAGGGATCACCACACAAATATGTTGCTATCATATCTTTGAAGCCACAGGTCTTTTCAGACAAGTATCAGAATAGGTTATTGCAGAGCCCCCGTCCACTCTCTTAGGAGCATCTTTTCATGTTAAAACTTTTGATACTCTCAGGCTAAATAAATAAGTGCAGAAACTACTACCTGATAGTAATGGAGTTTTCACACAAAAATGCTGTCATTCAACAGATAGCAGCATTTAGAGAATAGAAATAAACTATTTTGTAATGTTTTATCTGTTGTAATTGAAATCGTTGTGTATTTTTAGAGATTTGAAACTTCAAGAAGTTATTCTGAACAAAGTCAAACCAAAGTTTATATAGAAGTTTAAAGATTAACAAAATTATTGAATATAAACTTTCAGAAATTAAAATCCACCTCTCTGTCTGAAACTCTTCGCAGTCGCAGGTAACGGCAATTTTGCACACAACTAAACAGCAATTGCCTGTGTATCTTGCCTGCTTTAGTAGGAACGCCTGGACGAAAACTATGAAGACTTACAAATTGTAATAAATTGAATTGCTTGCAAAGTTTTTGTATGATTTTGAAACAAATCCTGACTTGTTTTGCTATTCTCATATAGAAAAGAACAGGAGAATAACGTACAGCAGCATGCTGCTCATTCATAATAGATATAAGTCAATAATCTTGATATTGTGTTAATATAAACACTGCCAATGCTTATTTCTGGTATTCACTTCAATTTCTAAACTTGAATATCTATAAATAAGCGTCAAATTGCCTTTTCTTGCTTGCTTGCTTTATTTATAAAATCTATAGGCCGCCCTCTTCTACAATTTATAAGACTTTATAAGACTTGCAATCAGTGGCCAGAATCTCAAGTTAGGTAAAAAATAACAAAGGAAAGAACATACCTGCATCACGTCATACCTTCATCTCAGCATGCTCAGTATTCTCCCAACTACTGAAAAGTTGCTCAACTCTAGAGAAAACCATGGATCATCAACCCCTTGTGAGTTTCATAGCAGCAGTTGGCTATTCCCAAAGTTAAACTGTTTTAAAGGAGTTGGTGAATGCAGAGCAACAGCAAAGTTGGAAATATGGTCTGCTGTTTTATCTCACACACTCTCAAGCCAGCCGATACCTCTCAAATTTGGTAGAAGACATGGTCTTGTCCCTTTCCAATGGTACTCAGTTTGGCTTTACTAAGTGGGGCAGGTATTAGGTTGATTTCAAGCAATTATTTTAAGAGACCTTTGGACAAACCTAGATTTATAGTAAAGAAAAACGTATTGATTTAAATTGACTTCAGAGATAATGGGTTTGTAGATTAAAATTGCAACTGCTATTTAAGCTTTCACTTCACAATCCATTAACTTGAGGACGATCTCACTGAGTAGTTGTACTGCTACATAATTTGAGGCATGTTAGTATATCAATTTCTTAGCATGTCTTAGTATACAATATGTCATTAAAATATACACTTTTCCTTGTGTTAAAAATAACTGTTTTTCATCACGGAAACAGCTTGATGCTTGTGCATTTTTTTTTTTTACAAAATGTATAGAACACCTACTCAAGATTGGGCAATGAATAATAGAGTAGGAATAAGATAGAAAACATTCCAATTATTAAAAATACAATTCCTGTGCATATCCACTATAAAATTAGGTCAAATGCACATTGGAATAGTTTTGTATTATTTGCAAAATATAAGGAGAAAGGGTGCTGATTGTATTTCCCAGGGAAGTGTGTGCCAAGTGTGAATGCTACTACAGAAAAGGCTTATATTTTCATTTCCCAAGAATGAACAGGAAATCACATTGCTGTAAACTACAAAATCTGCTGTCAAATTTGATGTCCCAATCTTGGGGAAATTCAGCTAAATTTAAAAAAGAATCCATGGGCCTAAGGCTTTTTTTAAAAGCCTTAGGCCCATGGATTGCTGAAATACATAATAGCACTGTCAAAATAGGTTGGTTACTAGAACTATGTTGTATCTTGTGTTCCTATGGTCAGTTAAGGCCATTTATAAAGCAGTCTTAAAACTTCCATCACCTTTTTTAGAAAGCTTAGAAACTGTGAGTTAACTAGATCTAGGAAGAATTGGGTGATTGATATCATGTAATTCATTAAGGCATGTCTTCTCTATTTGTTTATTGCAATACTATTATCAAAATATTTTTAAAACTGGACTCCTAGTTTTCTCATTCTAATTTTTTAAAAATAAATGGTTATCCTTTCATGATCTCAGATTGACTTCTCCTAAATTTGAAAAACTATGTAAAATTGTTTCCTTTCAATATAAATACCAGTATATAAAATCAATGCTTGCATTTCAAAAATGAATCTTTTTGTTCTAAAAGGCTGAATGTGTAACATTAATATTTAAATAAACACTAGCATCTGAAAATAATATAGATGTAGTATAAATAATATATAATATGTTTGTCCCAGATCTCATATACTTTTCTAAAACATATGTTTACCAAGCAGGAATGTGGTAGATTTCAGCAATGATGATATTTTATCACTAGCCTTTACTGATTATTTTCATTGGTGTTTAGTAGTAATCGGTTTTCTTTCTTATAGTTTATCTAATTTTCAGCTGCCCAGTTTGGGATATGATCAGTGTACCCTCAATAATTACATTATTCCTTATAATCAGTAGTGGGATTCAAGTAATTTAACAACTGGTTCTCTGCCCTAATGATTTCTTCCAACAACCAATTTGCCAAACTGCTCAGAAAGTTAACAACCGGTTCTCCCGAAGTGGTGTGAACTGGCTGAATCCCACCGCTGCTTATAACGTTGTTTTCTACAATCCCGAACTACAACAAGTATAGCTCTAGCTCATTTAAGCAATAGTTCCACTAGATATTTAGAAATCAATTTAGACATCAACACTTTCTTTGCTTCCTGACCTAGCAGCCTTCCCAGCCTTGGCAAAGTGGAGAAAGTTTCCCCAAATCAGATAGACGCTTTCTCTGTTTCTTAGTTCTCTTGTACCATGATGATCTTAAATGACATTCACCTATAAATAAATAGTATATATAATATATAATGTTTTACAAGATTCTTGGTGTAAGAATAAAGTCATCCTCATACATTCACATTATATATGGATCTACCTATTGGTGAAGGAAAAGTCAATCAGCCTGCACTGAATGCATATTTCAAAAGAAATATTATTTTGAGAAAATATTTTTTTAAGTAAAAAATATATAGAAACAGATAATGTGGAAGACCTGCCTGTTAATAAAGAATAAGACTGGCCTCTAACAAGGAAGATAGATTGTTAAACAAATAAATATTTCATACTTGTATTTTTTTCATACGTGTATCCTGTTCAGCCTTTTTATTATTATTGTATACTGTTCTTATGCAGGATGGATGGTCACAGTATCATTTTGTAGCTTCATCATCAACGATAGAGAGGGATAGGCAAAGACCGTATTCTTCCTCACGCACACCTTCCATCTCTCCGGTGCGCATGTCTCCCAACAATCGTTCAGGTAAGATCAGATATATATAATTGAATAATTAGGGAAACAATCATCAAGGTCAAATCAAGAACTGAAATGTTATCAAGGGAATTATTAACTGTAATGAAGCATAGAAAAGGTACTTTTATTGTTTATCTATTTTCTGGCTTATATGTTTGATACGATCATGAAACATTCTGGATAAAGCAGAAAAGGGAGATCATCCAAAAATGGTGCTCTGAGTGGCTGGGAGGATTCCCCCCCCCTGCTGACTAACAGCTGATTTCACTGTCAAAGCTGGCTCTTTGGTGACAAAATGCTCCCTAGATTGAACAGGAACAACTAAGAATGACCCCAGATGACTCTCAGAGGACCCCTCACTTACCAATGAAGAGGAATCTTGATGATTGCAATTCACAGTAAGAACAGCTGGAGAGTCAGGTCTCCATCCTTTCCTATCAGCTGTTCAGATATTTAAGTGTGCCTTCATTTTAACTTTTTTTTAAATTTGTTTTCTTTTGTTTTTGCTTTACATTTTAAATTTATTATTTTATTATTTATTATTCATATTTCTATGCCGCCCATTCTCCGAGGACTCTGGGCAGCTTACACCAAAGACAGTATACTAAATAGCATATTACCTCCAACAATCTGGGTCCTCATTTTACCCACCTCGGAAGGATGGAAGGCTGAGTCAACCTTGAGCTGTGAGATTTGATCCGCTGATCTGCTGAACTAGCATGGGGCTCCCCTTGAGGAGCACCCGGAGGCTCCAACTGGCGCAGAGTGCGGCCGCGCAGGTGGTTATGGGAGCAACATGGCGCTCCCGTATGACACCTCTCCTGCACGAGCTGCACTGGCTCCCGGTGGTCTTCCGGGTACACTTCAAGGTTTTGGTCACCACCTTTAGAGCGCTCCATGGCTTAGGACCTGGTTATTTACGGGACCACCTACTACCACAAGCAGCCTCCCACCGGCCGGTACGCTCTCATAGAGAGGGGCTCCTCTGGGTGCCGTCAGCCAAACAATGTTGACTGGCGGCCCCCAGGGGGAGGGCCTTCTCTGTGGGGGCACCCACTATCTGGAACGAGCTCCCCCCAGAGATACGGAGGATCCCGGATCTGCGCACTTTCTGCCGTGCTCTTAAGACCCTCCTATTCCAGCAAGCCGGCCTGGCCTAATTTTCTCTCCTGTTTTAAAATTCTTTTAAATCGAAATTTTAATCTGTTTTAAATTATTGGGATTTTTAATTGTCTCGGGCTAAATTATTTAATCTGGTTTTAATTATGTTTTTAACTTTTGTATCTATGTATTTTATTTTGTGCCTGTTCACCGCCCTGAGTCCTTCGGGAGTAGGGCAGTATATAAATCTAATAAAACAAACAAAACAAAACAAACAAACAACTAGCTGCAGTACTGCACCCTAACCACTGCGCCATCTCGGCTCAATCAGATGTTAAACATCTGATTGAATGCTGAACTATTTTTATCCCTTGCTGGATTATAAACTAGTTTTTATTCTTTACTACCGCTTTTTTCTGGAATAATGAAAAAATTCATTTTTGCCACATGGAAGTCAATGGCATAAAGATTTTTTCTTATATAGTGTAAGTGAACTGATTTACATTGGACTCTTATAGTAAGGACTTTATTTTACCACTTTTTATATTTTATTTCTGAAAATTTCTCTGTTCTTTTTTTCTTCTTAAAGAGGCAGTAACTTTCCATTTTATCTCTTCTATTTACTCTCTATGCTGGGAAAAATTATCTCAATTCCTCCTGCAGTTAGCTGACTGTGGAACAGACTGCCCTTGAGGTGAATTGTGTATGTTTTTGGATTACGCTAAAAATGGTAACAACAAAAGCTTTCTGGGAAACATTTGAAAGAAGAATGCTTCTTACCTTAAAAGCTCTTTTTGAAAATTTAGATAAGTTCAGTGAAGCAACAACAATTATAAATCACCCTAAAGAGGCTATTCAGATACAGGCAACAACAGAATTAGATTTGCAGTCAGATGGATTGGAAATTAATCTGTTGTAACAGAGTTGGAGGAGAAGAAACTTCATTGGAAAATTAGATTTGGTGGATAAGGTAGAAAGGGCTATGAATCTAAAAAATCCAGAGATGATAGAATGTTTGAAAAATAATTGTATGAAGGTATTTACAACAGAGATTTATGACTTTGGAAATGCAATTATGTGGAAAGACCCCAGTATTAATTTTAAGGAAAAGTTTTATTACTAAAAATCATTCAAAGGTATTTGATTCTGGATGGACCAGGGACAATGACTGAAGTGAATATGGCTTTCTGCAAATTAATTTTTCTTTCTTTCTTTTTGTCTTGTTGGATTTTGTTTCAATTTTTTATTGGAGTTGTATTTTAACTTTTAAATAAAATAAAAAATAAAAAGGAGAAAAGAAGCTATTTCTGATATTGTGTGGGTTTTGTCAAATTGAGAGATTATTGCATTTATTACTATTTTAGTAATCTAGGTTCAAATCTGTACTTAGACATATCATTGGTTGATTATTTTTAAATTATTGATAATCATGGGCCTGCTAAAGGAAGATAATTGTGAAATAATTTGTATTAAAAATTTGCATTATATGCATTATAATAATTACTGTATTTCAGTATATGTACATGTAATAGCTGTTCCTGATTATTGTTCAGCGTTGCTAGAGCTGTTGGATATGCTAGTTTGGATATCTTGATATCACCCTGGATTATTTTGTAGAGAGACAGATTTAAACATACCCACTGCTAAAGCGTGAAATGATTCCAAAGACCTGAAACAATGTTTCCTCCATATGTAATTGTTACTAATATTTATTTGAAATAGATTTTCAATTGAAGTAAAGAAAGGAAAGTATGAATATAACTGCAAAACTATGTATGAAAGTTATAAAGAAGGAAAACAAGAGAAGCATAGTCAGAAAAGTGGACAGATCAGCTATATTTTTTTTTCTGTGGATCTGTTTAGAAAGGAAGGATAACATTCATAAAACCAACTACAGCTCATTTCCTTGGGATGCTGTTGTTATTTCCTAGTTGAAATAAAAAAGAAGATTGAACAGGCATATATTTATATATATATATAAAAAATCAGTAAAATAATATATTTATTTATTGCTGGAACTCTTAAGCACTTTGGAGTATTGTTACTATCTTTGGGATGAAGACACATAAGGAGAGCAATCAGCTGCTTTACCTTGACTTTCTTAGGATACAACATTCAATTGGATCATTTCCAAGGTTCCTTCCAGGCGTTATATTTTATGATCCTATGGTTTTGAACCACAGACTGGCGGCCCCCAGGGGGAGGGCCTTCTCTGTGGGGGCACCCACTATCTGGAACGAGCTCCCCCTAGAGATACGGAGGATCTCAGATCTGCGCACTTTCCACCGTGCTCTTAAGGCTCACCTATTCCAGCAAGCCGGCCTGGCCTAATTTTCTCCCCTGTTTTAAAATTCTTTTAAATCGAAATTTTAATCTGTTTTAAATTATTGGGATTTTTAATTGTCTCGGGCTAAATTATTTAATCTGGTTTTAATTATGTTCTTAACTTTTGTATCTATGTATTTTATTTTGTGCCTGTTCACCACCCTGAGTCCTTCAGGAGTAGGGCGGTATATAAATCTAATAAAACAAACAAACAGTATATCCCTAGGACTTAACTTGGAAGGTTAGTTCATGCTATTCCATTCTATAATCCTCTTTAACTGAAATTCACCTTAATGTTATTCATTACTTAACTACACATTATAGCAGAAGGACATGATGCTGATGCAGTATTAAAGACGCTGACGTTGCCAGCTAGAAAGCTGACAGTCTGGGTTCAAGACCCAAGCGCCACAAGATGGGGTGAGTTTACGTTACTTGCCCCAGCTCCTGCCCACCTAGCAGTTCTAAAGCAAGCAAATAGATAAATAGGTACCATTTCAGTGGGAAGGTAACAATATTTTAGGTAACCTCGGCATGCTGATCATATGACCATGGAAATGTCTCTGGACAATGCTGGCTCCCTCAACTAAAAAACCAAAGATAAGCACCACTCCCTAGAGGTGGACATGGATGCAGAGGTGAGATTCAGCCAGTTCGGACTGGTTCGGGCGAACCGGTTGTTAAAATTCTGCCCAGTTTGGTGAACCAGCTAATCCCACCACTGGCTGGCCCGGCTGTTTTCAGGCAATTTTTGGCCATTTTTCAGCCATTTTCTGGGCCGTTTTGGATGTTCAGTAGTAGTAAGTAAATAGAGAGGGAAATTGAGTGAAAGGCTTCAACAAGGTACAATTTCCCTCTCTATTTATTTACTACTACCGAACATCAAAAATAGCCTGAAAATAGCTGAAAAACAGTCCAAAAAATGAAGATTTCAAATCTTCAATTACCTCTCTTGAAGCTGCACAACAATCTAGATTTGAAAGGGGAGGAGGAATTCATAGCTTGTGTGGGCACACACACTTCAGACCTCTCAATACCTCACATCCATTGTTCTTTTTCCTGCCTCGCTGCACATTTGTTGGCAAACACAAAATGAGTCTTCACTGCAAAGCATATAACCCTAACCCTAACCCTTCTGAATTTGGATTATTACACAACCATATTTTTACCTTAAAACTTGTGGACTTCAAAACGGGCCAAAAAATGGGCGGGGGCGGGGCCAGACAATGGTGGGATTAGCCCGAACCAGTCCAAACCAGCTGAATCCCACCACTGCATGGATGGACAGGGGAAACCTTTACTTTTATACATTATAGCACATACTTTTACAAATTTAGCCTATTAGTTTGCATTACAATTATAATGATGCTATCAATACAATTGTGATTAATTCAGGGAGACTACAGACCAGCTAACTCCACCTTTTCCAATCTTGTATGACTTCTTTCAATTGTAGTTTGCATAATAAGGCAACAAATTAAGTTTCCTATATTTTTACTCGAAGTCTTTCTGCCTTTAAATATGCAATTTATTTGTTTGTTCACTCGATTTGTATGGCCACCCATCTTAACAAATGATTCTGGGGAGCAAACAATAATAAAATAAGACAAATTGGAAAATGTAATAACAAAGCTTCCTTTTTTTTTATGTTGACTATGAATTGGATCAATAGGCAATTAGTTGAACTTCCATAGAAATGAGTAGTGTATTATGACTGATATTTTGTATCATATATAACTTTGAATGGTGTTACCAGGTATGCCCAAGCACATTTTAGATTCATGAATATTCCGTTATATTCTCTATGGGATCATAAAAGAATATTAAAAGTGTTTTTTTATTAATGAATTCAATAATTCCATATATGTAATCTCCAGTCTTTCATTGACAAATACACAGAATTGGTGTTTAAGGAATTTCTTTCAGGAAGAGCAAAAATGAACAAGTTCTGATTATTTTCATTGGGGATATACAAAATATGAAATAATTTTGTTGTTAGAATCATAATATACAAAAGTACCACTTGTATCGATGTAAGTGTTCCCATCGTGTGACCTACAACAGTTGACCAGATTTAGCAAGAGGGAAAACATAACGATGCTTGTCCAGGAAAATTACATTGCATTTTCATTTCATTACCAGTATCTCACAGAGAACAAATGTGTTTAATGTTTATTTTAATTAATCTGCTTCATGATATAGTTTACTTCTTAACCATATTAAATATTTAAATAGTAGACCCAAGTTACCTTTATTAAACATTCTCTTCCTCATCTTTTTAAATTTCTTGTTTAATATTATTACTCTATTGCTTAAATTTCACAAGAAGAAATTTTACCAGTGGAAAAAACCATACCTGAAACCCTTACAGAAACTTGAATATGTTGCTAACTTCTGTGTTTAGTAGTCACAGAGAGTGTGCTAAGGAATCTGAATGTAAATATCCCACATCAAATTGCATTCCAAGAAGTGGAGTACACCTGAATAGAGCAACTCACACAGGTAAGCAAGTTAAAAGAACAATCACAACAAAGTGTTCATTGCTGTGACTTCCCTTTGTAAATAAAGTGACTTGCCTACACTGTAATGAGAAAAGGAAATGTTTTCGCACTCAGAGAGAAAGCACTTATCCCTGCTCAGATGAAACTCTGCAGCTGTTAACACCAGCCAGCCATTTCACTCACACACAATTCTGCCTGAGAGAGCAACACAACAGAATAAACCATTACAGCACTCACATGAAGTTTTTCTTTTTCTTTTTTTTAAAACCTCAGATTCTTCTTTTACTACTATTGTGGAAAACTAGTGGTATTGCACAGACTTCCTCACTCAAGCAAGAAAAATAATTTAGTTCACCACTTTCAATTATTGCCCCACTCATCGCACCCATTGGGCTTCCCAAAAATGCTATATGCATTCCTTTGGCCTCAAAGGGATAGCTGCTTTGGCCTTAAACATGGCTATATTCACAGATACCAAAGTCTCTTTCCCCAGTGGGGGTTGGAGACTAAGGTACGAACACTGACAAAGAATCAGATGGTATCACTCACTCTTTTCTCCTTCTACCAACAAATATCTATGTATTCAGATTTTTAAAATGATGTCTTCCACTCACTGCCTGAGGTTCATTCTTTCCATTTCCAATTATTTCCTACAGACTGTCCTTCAGATACAAGAACTATCTCACAACCTGTTAAAAACAGGAGAGGAGAAAGATTTCCTTACAAGTGCCGAGAAGGATGCATAGAATTGAGAATCTGCATGACAGCAGTTATGCAACAAATGTACCAGATCCTATGCTTGCTCCCCAGCTGCTGATGAACAACTTCTCATTTTTCTTAATCTTTCGGGTTCCACTTCCTCTCAAATGCTGGTCAATAAAGTATTTACCATTGTTGCTTGTGTGAATTTTTGGCTGGCTGGCTGGCTGGTTGGTTGGATAGATAGATTTGTTACTAACAGTCCAAAACTGGACATCTCTTTCCCCTACTCTTGCTCATTTTTTAATTGGCACCATACTATATCCATGGAGTTGAATGGGGCAAAATACAAATCCAGAATCAGTGGCTTCTTCCCCTTTATTACTCATTCTTGTTCCCTGGATTATGGGGTTTTACAAAGGAGCTGGAAGCACTGCTTTTAGGCAGATGGGGGGGGGAGTGGCCACATGATTTTGAAGCAGTATTGGTTTTAGTGTTTCTAAGTGTTATTTGCCTCACATTAACCTTATTGTTTTATGTACATATTGCATATGGCTGTTAAATTCACAACAGCAACAGAACTCAAGATACTCAGTATAGAACAACTGAGATTAAAAACAACATATTCCCATTCAAATCATTTCATTTCTAGATGGATTTATCCAGCATTCTGACCCATTGCCTAGAGGAAAAACTAAGATCTTACAGAAGGCCAATAGACCAACAGGGCCTGAAGCAGTGCTTTACATTCAACCAAGCAATTCAGGTATATAACATCTGAGTTATTCAGCAGCTTTTACCTGTAGTTTCTGATTTCTGTCATTATAGCTGAGCATTTTTATTTTAAAGCTGTTGAAATGGAAAGTGTAAGCATTTTCTTCTCTTGGGATTCAGGTTCCCATTTCTTGCTTGGATGAGCCTTGAATCTTGTATCAAGGAGGCTTTAGGAGCAGAGAGTTACAGAGCTGGTTTTTTCCTCTACAGTACTTTTATAAACAGCCACCCATGGATGCCAACCTCCCATTACAGCAAGGTTCTGCTTTATACTATTGGGGTTACTCACATAGGAAACTGCATCCTTACCCAATTTTACCATGAGTGACATTACACAGATTGGTGGGTAGTTGTAGAATTTACAGGGGTATGTAAATTTTGGTTACTTATTTTTCTGGTTTCTCCCCTTCCTTGTTGATTTGAATACATTCTGGATATATTACCTATGCTAATAAATAATTGTCACTGCCTAATTCATGTAAGATTGCATATTGCTGTGTTCATTTTTATTTTGAAAATGTTCTCTCTCAAGTTATGAAGAGATTGTATAATGGATTTCGCCACACATTTTTTTCCTTAATGTTTCTAAAGCCTTTGGGTAAACTATCATTACTATCTATTTTCACTGGGTTTTGGCATAATTTTAAAATATTTTTTATAATAACTGGGAGCAAACTGATAATGTATGGCCTCAGCGTGACTGAATAGATAGCAAATGGGATGGGGCCAAAATACCAAAATCCGTGCAAAATGGAATTGAAGAAAATCAAATTCAACTTTATAAGAGAACAATGAGGTGGCAAAAAGCATGAAAAACAGTAACATTCAAGTTTTCTACACTGTTTGTTCAAAAGAGCTGGTGACTGTGAAGATTTCAAGGATGTGTGGCTGCAAAAAATCCTTTATCCAAGCACAGCCATTGTCATGTTTCTTTGATTCTTGAATAATTCCAAGCAGCCAAAGATTCTTCATCAAGAAAAAAATTGGAGCCCTACTCAGAAACCTACAAAACTAATGGCAAGATCTGCTAATTTTTGCTGAAAAGGAATAGAGAAGGCTGGAAAAAGAAAATGTAGGTAGTTTTTTTTTTTAAGGCCTAGTAGAATAAGCAAGTAAGATTTTCAAATATCAGGTAAGGAGAAAGCATTCATCAGGTTCCCTGTATGATTTCTCTAAAGAAACCGATTGCATCTTCACTGTGAACAAGCAAAGAAGGAGCATGCATTTATTTTGAATTGGAAGAGGTTCTTGCTGCGATCAAAGTGCTCCAGATAGCTAGCAGATTACCCCTTTTGGAAAAGATGGATCAAAAACTTCACCAAACATTACAAATCCAGCTAATTTGCAATATAAAAAGGCAAGGATGGCAAGCTGGATGATAATTTTATCTGGGCCTAGAGAATTTGATTACTATGTTTGATTAATAATAATGTTGATAATAGTTTCACTTGAAAGAAAAACATTTATTTTTGGAGTTTATGTACAAGGTATACTGGTATCTGAAATACAAATCTGGTAGATTACGAGCATGCCTCTTGAAAGGATATATCTCAACGTGTATTGTGCACACCTTCCATACCACCACCTGATTTGATGATCCCATGGCATTGAAAAGCATGTATGTCATACTTGTTAGCTGGTAGCTAAATTTAGTTTAGGAATCAATCATGTATGACTAGATTGGGTTCTTTGATCCTGAAGGAGCAGAATGAGCACTACTTCTCAATTAAAAAAAAAAAAGATATTGGGCTACATAAAGGATGAAAAGACTCAGGAAATTACAGCAGAAAGTTTAAGTTTCCAAACCTCCCTTTTTTGCCTAAAAGAAAGGGAACAAGTAAAGTCTTTAATAATTGGTGAAAAGGGAGCAGAATGCTGTCTTTAATTATTAGTCAAATGATGTTCCATTTATCCCTTGCTTTGAGCAAAAACGTGCCCTTGCTGCTGTGCATTGTAACAAAAAGCCAACGCTGAAAGTATATGAGAATATTAAATCAGTCCTGGTTATATTAAATTTCATAATCTGCTATTTTAGATCTGGGCCTTTGTGGAACTGATGTGAATAGAATACCAGTGTGATTCTGGGCCACATAGTGGTTAATCATAAAAGATAAGTGAAATCAAATGAAACAGCTATGTGCACATCCTCTTATTATGACAAATTTTATGGAATTCATGGAGGGTACCTTTGAATAATTCTAGAAAGGTTCAGGAGTGCCACTTTTGGCCTGTGGTGACATAATCATCATCATTATAAGAGCTGTGGTGGTGCACTGGTTAGAATGCAGTACTGCAGGCTACTTCTGCTGACTGCTGGCTGACAGCAGTTTGGCAGTTCGATTCTCACTGGCTCAAGGTTGGCTCTGAGTGCCTTCCATCTTTCCGAGGTCAGTAAAATGAGGAGCCAGATTGTTGGGGGCAATATGCTGACTCTGTAAACCGCTTAGATTGGGCTGTAAAGCACTGTGAAGCAGTAAATAAGTTAATGTGCTATTGCTATTATTATTCTATTTCTTTTTTGTGTGATACCTTGTTTGATCTGATCTGTATCAATGGAGTTCAGCAGATGCAGAGCTGTCATGGTTTATCTCAGTAGCTTTACCTTTCCCTCTTCTATAAGACAAAGATTTTAAACAGCTGATGTTCAAAGGCAATGTGTTAAATTTAATTTCTAAGATATATGATCAAGATTATTTCCATTTAAGAGATTATTTTCAAGCTAATTGCATTGCTGCATTGCTTAGAACATGTGTTCATATACTTTACTATGCAACTCATTCAGTCAAGAGTTCTAAGATCTGCATTTGTTTTTGTTTGTAGCAAGTGCCCCAGCCTCCCCTCGGGAAATGATCAGTTTAAAAGAAAGAAAAACAGATTATGAGTCAACTGGAACAAATGCTACTTACCATGGGAATAAAGGAGAGCATACTTCTAGAAAAGACACCATGACAGGTGAGCCAGGAATTGTATGTGATATATAAACATTGTGGAAGAAAACCTTCTGGGCTGGAATTGATTCTGATGGTAATACAGACATACTTAGTAAGCATGTTTTAAGCTTTACTTTGTAAACTACATTAAAGTCTTCAACTCAAATATTGCTAATCATTTTGAGGTAACACCTTGACTGAATTCAGTTTGTATATTTATTGAATGTCAGATTTAAACTTTTGTTTCAAAACTCCAAGCCTTCAATCTCTGCATCATAATGTTTACTATAGGAATCTGGCATCTTAATAGTATTTCCCCTATAAAAGGAAAAGTGATTTATCTGATTTCATTTCCTCTTTCTCGTCCTCCTCCTTCCTTTAAAGCAACTATTTCTCCACTTTAGCAGCTTTTAAGATATGTGAACTTCAACTCACAGAATTTTTTCCCCAGCATGCTTTAAACCAGTGGTGAAATGTAAAATTTGTTACTACCAGTTCTGTGGGCATGGCTTGGTAGGGGGGTAATGTGACTGGGTGGGCGTGGCCAACTTTTTTTTTTTTTTTTTTTTTTTTTTTTACTTTTAAAAACATTTTTTCTACAACCTCTTCAGCTGAAGAGGTTGTAGAAAGAATGCTTTTAAAAGGCTCTGACGATCTAGGCTGATGATCACGCGGCTCAACTGGCATGTGGGGGGCAGGGATTTCTGCTACCGGTTCTCTGAACCACCCACAGCCATCGCTATCGGACCAGGCGATCTGGTCCAAACAGGGAGCATTTCACTCCTGCTTTAAACTGAATGATGTAAAACACTATTTTAAACTGAAGGATGTATGTATGAACCACTTATTGTGGCTTAATAACAATATTGGAGAGCACACACAATCATCTTTAGCTATTGTTGTGCTTTGGCAGTGATTATAATACTGTAATTCATCCCATATGGAGTAAATCACCGCTTGTGACAGCCCAAATTCCTTTTTTTTTTACAACTCTGCATTATGTAGGGAATATAATTTTCTCTAACAAATGCTAATTAGCTTCTTTCCACAAAATTTTTGGCTTAATTTTACAGTTATATTTATTGCTATTTAAAATTGTAATGTTTATGCTGTTTTCTGAAAAGGGGTATAAAAGAGTTCTTTGAGGTAGTTCTTTCATTTCAAAATAGAAGTTTTTAACATGGCAGGGCAGAAGAGCATACTGAATGCCACCCAATCTCAGATAAAGTAACCAATACATTTGGAAAGATGGCATGAATATCATCATCTATTTAGAAACATTTTGTTACAAAAATAGCATAAAGCTAGATTTAATTTCAGCTGCATGTAAGCATTCTATTACTATCCAGATATTTCAGTCTACAAATTCCATAATCCACTGTCATTGGCTGCGGTTGATGGGAGTTAGACATTTGAAGAGCCAAGAGCAGAACACATCAAGTTGGGAAAAGCTGGTTTAATGCCATACCTTGATTGGTGATTATAACCTCACTCAAGTGTTTAAATTCATTATACAGTATGAGCTTCTTTGCCTTTCCCGATGTTATATCTTTGACATCATCTAGAAGAACTCTCATACTATTATGTATATCAATGCAAATGTCTCTATTGTGCAAACAGGTGGATTTTGCATATGCACATCATCTTTTCTCCTTATGTTACCATGAAGACAGAGAAAAAGCTCACCATTGCCCTGGTGGGAAGAGAGCCCTTTTCTTTAATGGTTCAAAGGATCTTAAGGGGAAAAAAGGACATCTGCATTGTTCTATGTCCATTCATTTCTCCAAAATTCCACCATTTATCAGTTTTAGGTTTGTCTGGCTATTATGCTAATAATAAAAAATGCTAACTTAGTAACTAATGTTACTAGTTTTTAGGATATTTTTAGTCATGGGTAGTCAGCTAAATCAGTGGCTCCCAATCTGTTCAGCGCCAAGGACCAGTTCTGTAAAGGGTGTTTTTTCCACAGACGAGGGAGGCATGGTTTCATGCTCTGCCTGGATCCCACGTGTGTGGATGGGGCTTTGCTCACTTGTGCAGCCTGATTCCTGGTGGGCAGCGGACTGGTGTCAGTCCACGGACCCGGAGTTGGGGACTCCTGAGCTAAATGATATCCCATCACCAATGATATCCCAGTTGTGAAGTTCTGTACCAATTTATCACCTCTTCCTCACCACAGGGACAATTTTATCTTTATTACACATCCTCTATTAGCCTCTTTTTTTCAGCAGAATAAAGTTACGCTGATGGCTTTCTGGAATGAAAATGAGAGCATGGTCACCATATACAGAGCAAAGGGAGTTTAGTTTTCCACTCATCTGTCTCTACAGGGAATATTTTAAGGAGATTAAAGCAATTCACTTAGGGAAAAGGGTAACATTTATCAATTTTATTGACAAGCCATAGACCAGCATGGCACAGAACTAAATTTAATCTGAAACTAATAATTTCTCAATGTTTTAAAGTTATTATAATAGGAATAACAGGACATTTCCTAATAATAAGAACATCTGTAGGTGGTATCATCTAAACCAGGGATTTTCAAACTCCACTGGCATACAAAACCTGTTAATTAAAAAAAATTAATTAATCAGAGGCAAAGCCATAATGAGCAGAAACATCCTTCTGGAAAAACCGAGGTTCCAAGATAAGCTGACAAACCTTGCCTTTTCTACATACCTTTAAAAATGTTGTATATACTCTTGATTATCTTTGAATATAAAGAGGTGGGGGGTTTTGGTCCTTATTTTCTCACAGAACCCCCTCAAATTCTTGGAACACAGTTGAAATACCTTACCTAAATATGTATGTTGAGGGAGTAAAAGGACAAGCTGGAGGAAAACTATTTTAAAACATTACATTATTGAGTGTTAACTGTAGTAAAACCAAATGGATTCACTGCTGTAGATTATGATACTTGACAGCTGTTCTTTTCAGCAATTTTGTTTGATAATAGGAGACCAGTCTCTCAAGAGCTATCATTCTAAGCTTCTTGTTAAACAGCAATGCTGTTCCATCATACCATGACACCATGTTCTATAGCATACTCCAAATGTCATCCAGTGGAGCCAAAAGATTAAATGAATTCTACAAGAACAATCATTCTGATCATCTGAAGCCCATGAATCCTTCATTAGATAATTGATTCATCAAGAACTTTTGAAGAACTGCAAAACAGCAACAGATAAGGTACTGTTTAGAATTGGATTTTATGTTTAAGAGCCCATTTTAGCTTCTTCCCTAGTGTAATTTGTTGTGTTGTGCATATTTTTGATGTTATGGGGGTAGATTTAAGGCCTTATTGAAGCAAATCTACAGTAGGATCTGCTGCTTTTATAACATTACTCACTATCCCTCAATGCCATGTCTGGGTTGTGTGGGGCAAGTATATGGTTAACTACTCCTTACATAGCTACTGTATAAGTACAACCTTGCTTGTTCGAATCTAATTGAGCAGTATAAAAGGCCAGACTGATATATGCTACAGTGGGAGCATGTTTATTAACCTGTTCCATGCAAAGTTAGCTAGTCTATCATTTTATTTTCTCACTTTCTAACCAGTGACTTTTTACAGGATTTTGTTATTCCAGTTCTTGTGATGTTTCTCTCTTTCCCCTTGCTCCCTCTATCTTGCATTTTAGCTAGCTATAGTACTAATGCATATACAAAGATAGGAGTCTCATTTTTGCCCTGCCAGATAGTCAAGTGTCTTATGAGACTTAGACTTTCAAGCCAAAACAAATGTCATCTATAATAGCTTGTGTTGTCTGGTTACAAACAGAGATTACAAATTTTATTTTGCTTTTACAGGCTACCAGAGCAGAGCTTGTGACACATGGTTACCACATCAAATCTGAAGAGTAGATGAAGACTAAATGAACAATTATTCTGTTTGATTATGTATGAACTGAATTACCACCTTTAAAAAGAGGAAAGCTCTGACATGAAAGAAAACCAGAATCAACCAAACATTAAACAGTTCAATAAAGCATGATATGAAATCTCAACATTGTGAGCCTTTCTTTTTAAACTCTGACAGATGATTTGTAGTCAGATTTTTTTAGACTGAATTGAAGTTGCAGAATCAGAGATAGTATGCAACTGTAAAAGTCTCGATCACAGCTGCACTGTACTCAGCATAGGAGACTATTAGGAATATGGAGCCACTCCTACCTTTGAACAGCTTTGGTGAGACAATGGAGGGAAATAGTAGAGCTGTGGCAAGAACTTCCAGGTCCATCCATTCTTGTCCAGTCTGATGGTTGCAGTTCTCTGAGTTAAGTCCCTTGAATCTGAAATTGCAGTCCAATTGTAAAAATACCTGATGTGGTCAGTGAGTGATGTGGGTTGCACAATCTGTCCAGATCATGCAACTCACAGGCTTGTTCTGATTCAACCTCTTGTAATCTTTTTATAAGACCTTCCCAATAAAAGAATACAGGAGATGTGTCAAGACATATTTTAATTATGATCAGTTTACTGGTAACACTTGCATTTTCAGGAGCATTTTTAAATCCACTAATATTCAGGCCTCCTGAATTTCTTTTTATTCATTGAGAAGAACATAAAACATAACTTAAACATAAACATAAAAAAAATATGTTTCATAATTCTGGATACACCTACTATATGTGGAGGTTCAGGTTGTTAATACTTAAAGATATTAAGGATGCTTGTTCTGGAACAGCTGTAATCTTAGCACCGGAAAAGGAGAGCTAATTTTTATGTTATTAGCTAAATATATATTCATTCTTTGAGGACTGATTTTTTTCCCTCCAAGAAGCAGGTAAATTTTTAATTTAATTTTGTATTTTAAAATGATGACTGATTAAATAAATATTTTAATTAAAATAGTTATTTACTATTGAATTTTTATATTTGCCCAACATACATTTACAATGATCCCATCACATATTCTTAGCTGATTTCCAGGTATAAAGTCTATGTGAGTAAACAGTTTCTCATATACATGCTGTCTCATGATTTGTTATACATAAATATATTTCTGTAATACATATATAT